CGGTAGGTCACATTCGGGGAAAAGGAGTGTTGAAGTGTGGTTACGACTATTTGAACATATCCGTCGTCATCTGTGAAACAGATATTTTATAACGGTCAACCAACTCGTGATGGCGTCTGTAAAATATTTGAAGGGATGATTTCAACTTCACCATTTGGAACTCTTGGTTTGATAGCTTCCTTGTGAGCAGTAACCCTCTATCAAAGAAATCATGATAGGAGGCGAAAGCCCTGTAAAATCGTTTCAACTGGGAGATATATACCCTGGAAATATATATACTGGGAGATATATATATATATGTCAGGAATATGACAGTTGTTGTCCATTCGTTTGATGTGTTTTGTCATTTGATTTTGCCATGTGATTAGGGACTTTCCGATTGAATTTTCCTCGGAGTTCAGTATTTTTGTGATTTTACTTTTTTCTATATGCAGGCGCTGCTGGAATGTTGCTACATAGATATGGAAAGTTCACAATAATAATGTTCTGCTAATCTCTTTTTTTTAAACTAAAAAAGTACTTCATTTATATCTCAAAGCCTACCTTTTTTCCTCATTTACTATATAATTGTTTTATAACAAAGGAGTGGTTATCTATATTGATAATAATAATAACCAGTATTTCTTTGATATCAGAGAGAATTACTGTCGGTGTGGGTTTAGTTTTGTTTTGTTTTTATCTTGTTGCATCAATCTTCCGATTTTTTTTCACAGGATAACGCAATATAGAAGTCAAAATTTAGTACATATACTTAGATTTAAATAGTGGATCACTTATCAAATACCTAGAAAACAGTCAAACCTCTACCCTTTGAATCTCCTCGATAATTTGCATATATGCTTTAATGTTCTCCTGTCACAAAACCTTCTTCCACACAGTTTTGAGGAAAGCAACAGAAAACAATACTACAAAGTTTAAGGTCGCCGTCACGAATTGATTGATCTATACGATGTGTATGTGTCTCTTCCACTAGCGACGTATTTTTGCGGTATTAGATCTTTAGATAACAGAATTGTCGTCCAATCTTTAAAATCACTTACTGTGTCTGTTTCCAGTTGTTACAAGTTGATTCTATGTGGTTTCGCATGACATATGTTGCATGCATAATACGAGACCTTGTCAACACATGCGGTTTCGCTTCTTTTTGAGTTCCCGAGATTCCCTCACCTTGTGTTTGTTACCTTGTTTTGTATTTCTTTACTCAATTTATGAGATTTGAATACAATAACTGGTGCTTCTAACTTACAAAAATTTACATGTGTGTTTCTAATCAAAACTAAACGGCGAGTTTATTTGCTAGTATCAAATCTAAATCCAGCTTCAAATCTGTGTCCTTTCCTCAGATATATGTTCTATTCTATATGGCGCCATAGACGTCACAAATTTATGTCCTGTCTTTTCTCAAATATGTGTCCCTTTCAACAATGTCATATGTGTTGACGTCAGAAGTATCAAAACGTCATCGAGGGAAGATTTGTGTTATCGAAGACAACAATACTACTTTTATATTCGAATTAAATCGATATCAGTTCATGCCAATGAAAAGGTAATGCGTGTTTTACTATGTACATCGGAGCTTACAGTAATTTCTCGCCATACATTGTCGTATTCAACCAGTTATTTGCCTTATATAGTTTTTGTCAATCATAGAAATAGAAGTGAAAACCGTCAGAATATATAAACAACATTTTGTTCTCGTATTAGTCTTACATGCTTGTTGGTGCTTGTCAGACAATTAACGAAGTCTTTATGATATATTTGAGTACTCTTACATGTCTTACATCGGTACTTCGTGTCTTTTAATTGTCTTTTTGTTCTTTGATGTTTGTGCTCTGTGCCGATCTGGGGAGCCAAGTCCTTTCCAACAAATTTTGACAGTTTGTTCTTATGTTGCGTTGTAACACAACGGTCAAAGGTTATGTGGAGGGTTGAACGCTTAATTTAAATGGCCTCATCAAATTTGTGGTTGTCCGAAGTCACGTCATATTACTGAACGTCTACTTCATAGAAAGGACACAGCATTGAACAAACAAAGGGCAACACATTTGAGTTTTATGACGTTAACGAATACAGATCTGATAAAAGGACATAGATTTTAGACTTGACAAAGGACCAGATTTAAAGGTCATGACCAAACGGGACATAGATTTGAGGTTGTAGATAGATTTGGCTATTACATGTCTAAAATCACGAACACTTGTATTTAGCGACTTTATGGCCAATCTGTGTCTTGGTGTTTAAAACACGACACTGATTACGATATTTAACGTGAAGTTAGTCATAATTATGATTATGGATATGCTTAACCTTCTGGAGTACTTGATTGATTGATTGTTGGTTGCTTAACGTCCAGTGCTGGAGTACTTGATGTCATCACGTTACGTTTAAGTCTTTCTTGTTACTAAGTATTTATTTTTATGTGTAGTGTTTTGCAGACTGTTTGCTTGTCTTTTCCTCTTTTGTTTTGGCATGCTTTTGTTTTCGTATGGTAAAACGGGCTTAGTCAGTGATACGAGTTAGTTGATTGCTGATTCTAAACGTTTTAAGCATCAACATAAAAGTGACAGGACAATTATCTTTAAAAAGATGGTTTCCATTGAGCAAATACCTGTTGTTGCCTTACATGAAAGGGGTACTCTTAAGCATTTAACACAAACAAACATTTAAAACTTAAATCGGCTCTTATTGTTGTCTGTACTAAGTTTCTGCTCAATGTAGACTAGTTTTATCCATCAAATTAAAATGTTATGCACATAAACTTGTATTCAAGTCATTAATTGTTCAGTTTTCAAATAACGGTAGAATGTGTAACTTTAGAATGTGTCCCAAATGATGCGAGTGTCAATTGCAGATGTATTCTAATTGGTGAGCGTCAAAACCTAGAATTAACTTTAAACCTAACGAATTACGTCCTCTAAGCTGTTTTGAAAATGATAATAATAAATATTTCATCAGCAAGATATAGGCGTGATAGACTGACTCACTTGTTAAATAAAAAGGGTTCTTTCTTGCGATGTAATATTCTTACTGGCCTCTCACCACATATACGGCCTATTTCAATCAAATTTTATAGGACTTCATGAAATCTGATAGGAGTGTTTGTTTTCCCCCTTGCGTGGCAGTATCCAAACAAAAGCTGTAGCTAACGTGCTAGCTTTATGAAGTAGCAAGGACATTGACTCTGCTTTCTAAGTTATAAACTGTTTTTTTTTCATTTTCTTGTTCCAGTTAGTCATCGTGTTAGTAGTGCAAGATGAAGACTTGTGGAGCAGGATCTACTTTCCCTTCCGGAGCACCTGAGATCACCCCTTGATTTTGTAGGAGTTCGTGTTGCTCAGTCTTTACTTTTCTATCTTGTGTTGTATGTACTGTTGTTTGTCTTGTGATCTTTTTCTTCTTTTACCATGGCGTTGTTAGATTATTTCGACTTATGAGTTAGCATGTCCTTTTAGAACTTTCGCTTCTCTTTTGCAGGTTTTAACTATGTGATTTAGCACATATAGTGAAGATAGGAATGTTTGTGCACATGTAAAATTGGTTTGACTCCACCACGTTTAGTGCCTGTACAATATCAGGCTATCTGGACCAGTTGTTCGCTGTTGTTTGCCTTTGTTTTTGAAAGTCTGTTTTCGGTGCTTGTTTTTTTTGACGGCTGATTTTTAGCTTAGACAAACGGTGACCCATAGTTTTTTTCACAATAATATGACACCTTAATCTAAATAACTTTAACAAATGTCTATACAATATATCAAGTTCTAGATCGCTTTCTGTCTAAAAAGGTTGTGAATTAATTATCCAGAAACTATCAAAAATTTGTCAACACCAAATTTTCAATAAAACAAAATCATTGAGATACGCCATAAAACAACATTGATATCATTACAAGCTCCTTTCGTTTCTGTCCAGTTAAAATGATGAAAAATAATATGAATTGGAAATCTTTTCTTAAATATCTATAACGTGGGTAAATTAAAATGATACACCCTCAAACAATACCACTACTGACACCCCGGCCTTATGGCGCTATACATCCTAATATGCATACAAATCTCCTCGAGTAAATATATTATAAGAACACTTTTGACAACAAAAACATTGTGTTTACTCAGCCTAATTGTTAATCAAAACTATGCATGACCCTTATATTTATTAAAAAAGATTGCTTTAAAAAAACGATGTACTTTCCGTGAGAAATTAGATTATCAGATCACTTTTGACGACATGGTATAATGTAAAAATAAGAAGATGTGGTATGATTACCAACGAGACAACTCTCTGCAAGAGACCTAATGACATAGAAATTAACAACAATAGGTCACCGTATACATTATTTATTTACCAAAGCAAGTTCAGTCAGCTGATCAAGGTGCATTCCTTTTCAATTACGTCACTGATCTTTGATTTTGAATGTGTATATGACCAAATAGTTTTATAGAATAAAATTTCTGAAAAATATTGTCATGTTTTCTTATCAGCCCCTTTTGAAAGTCAAAGTTCCACGGTGAAGACAATGTTTGATCTGCGTTATGGGCATATAAGCCGTAAATGTTAAAACCGTGAACATGGACACTATTTACATAAAATTTAGTTTAGATTGGTAAACATTGTGCGTAGTCACATGGTAGGTGATCTCCCACACATCGACTAAGCATACAAAAATGCGAGTGCGGGGATTTGATTTTAATTAGATTGACCAAAAGAAGGAGCAATTATGAAATTTCTTGATAGAAGATATATCAAATATAATATTAAAGATTTCTATATAATAATTTCAGATTCTACATCTACATCTCGTTGAAATTCGACAAGAACTTCAATTTCTTTACATTCGGTTATTATCTTAATAGATAATGAGATTAGGGTTATGGCCGTTTTCAGCTGTAGTTTCTATTGTTTAATCAGACCAATTTTGTATATAATTGAACATTAATTGGATCATTATCTAGAATCAATATTTTTTGTGTAGAGTTAACTGACGGTTAACAACTTGGGAATTGCCTTCATTTACAAGCATTTTGTCAACAGAACAATGACAAATTGGCTCGACCAACCATTCGACAAAAGCTTTGGGATGACGCTCAATAAATCCATAACGGTAACTAAGATATTGTTAATGGTATGAAGGAATATTACAGTGTAGGTTAGCATTTATTGAAGAAAGTTTATATGATAACTTATCATAACACATATGTCTCTAATACTCTTCCCCGATGTGTTGCTTGTGATACAGACCCTCTAGAATTCAAACTTGCACATTTGCATGTGGCCGTATTTTTGAAAGTGTCATCAATTGATTGTGCGTACATTCAGCAGTGATTATTTTATAAATTCCTGTTCAAATTCCTGTTCTGTATGACCAAATTCATATGCCAGATTTATTGTTAGTAGAATAAAAAATTAAAATAGCTCCAAATTTCGCCAAAAAAGTGTTTTTCATGAAATGACTGTGTTCATCAAATGTTTGGTCAGTTTGAACATTAGAGGGTATGTGCTGAAAATTATAAGAACAACTTTATTTGTTACAAATACACTTATTACTGCAAATAAGGTACAGCTGATGTTACAGTTGAATATTTTTAGTCATTGGACTTATAACAAGTAAGACAATTGTTGATGTTCCGGTGATGGCAAGAAAAACACAAAAGCTCAATCTGTCAACTACTCTCGCTACTTCCTGCCATTCATGGATAGCCCTTCTTTCGTTTATTGAATTATCATGAATATGCATGACTTGTTTAAAGTATGTCAGAAGTTCTTTGTCAAAGGTAGATTTATAAACGTTAGTGTTATTTATATTCACATTTTGATTCATGACGTCTGTTAATGTTTCGTTAGTGACGTCATTTAAATCCACGTGGTTTATATTTGTGTGGCCATGGCGACCAATGTCATTTTGGATTAAAGCCTCGCTTTCATGTGATGGATACATAAAGTTACGTTCTGGAATATAGTTTGTTGCATGACTATAATTCATTTGATTATCCAAACGGATATTCATACACAGTATTTTAGCAGTAAGCTTCGCAAATGTCTTGATAAATGAAGGCGGACCTTTGGCAAGCGCACCTCGATGATGAATATTTAACACAAACACAGAGAATACAACCGACAATCCGCTCATTGACATAATCACAGTAAGGTATATTCCTGGAAAACAAATCAAGATATGTTTGGTATTTAAAACAATAATGTAAAGCTCAAACATTAAAGTTATAGATTGAGCCAAAACCAGTAAATCACCTGTGGTGTTACATCATCTAAATTGTATTATTGTCTATTTTCATTGTGTATTATCGACCTTTAGCTAAAAGTGCAAGTGATTGATAATGTGAAATTTGTATATTTTTGGGTACACCTCTCTCTTAATATCAATAAGGGGTTTATTGTTTCCTTATAGCTATGAAATTATTGATATAGATTTCTGAAATAATTTAAGCCTTACATGTTATTCTAATGTTAAAATTTCGCTGCTAAGCTTTCACAGTGAAATATATTCAAATTCTATCACGACAAACTAAATGTAGATCATGAAAATAATTTACTCAACTTTACCATTTAATAACTAACAGCATGTAGGGAACTGATTGATGAATGTTATCAGAAATACAAATATAGACATTGATTACCTATTAGCGGTATATATTCGGACGTAGGTGGCATATTTTCAGCAATAAGAAGCATGAAGACGGAAAATGCCAACAGTACAGTCAATCCTAGGGTAACCTTTTCCCCTGATTCAGGAGGCAGTAGAAACCCTGTTAATGTTAACAACGACAACAGCACACATGGAATTATAACATTAAAAGCATAGTACAAAACACGTCTACGTAGGTGTAGATAAAATGTAACATCTGGAAATGGTTCCGGACAACACGGATAGATCTTTACATTCCGAACTGCTTTAGTATCTATTAATGTCCATTCGCCATTGTCAACGTAATTAGAAAGATCTACGTCTAGAGTCCTATTAGTAACGTCCACTTGGAATCCATCATAAGCCCAAGAACCAAGTTTTAATGTGCAAATCTGGTCATCAAAAGGAAAATACGTTATATCCATTTTACACGAACTACGCATGCGTACAATTGGTGGCCAGAAAACATTACCATTACTTTCTACCATTGCTAAACTTTTCATATAACCTTTGCTATGACTGTCAACACTGGAAAAGATAACGTTTTTAAGCATTTATTATCTATTAAATTCGTAGCTATTTGTACGGTATTTTGAACATCAGTAAACTACTGTTGCCTTAGTTTGTTAACAGATTAGTTGTAATTAATGTATAGTGTTAAATGGTATTAATTAGATGTTATACATATCTAATTATGTTTAATGTAAAAGTAAAACATAATTTCATGTTAATATGAATATCACAAGTCCTAATAACATTTCTAACGTCAAGTCGAATTGAGTTTTAGGCCACTGAAATAGTGAATTGAGTGGTTAATTTCTGGAAAGAATTACAGTTTTATTTTCTATATACAAATGATTATAAAAAGTCTGTTTTGATGTTGCTTTTTTGTTTTTTTTAAATCTCTTTTTCGATATACATCAACAAGTCCTTGTGATGTTTAAAACATATAACATATTGCAAAATGAAAAATCGAACAAAAGTAAAAACACTGAAATTGAAATAGCCGGTACAACTATATATCATATAAGTGTAGTAAATAGTATGCAGAACCATATATCATATAAGTGTAGAAAATAGTATGCAGAACCATATATCATATAAGTGTAGTAAATAGTATGCAGAACAGTTTTTAAAACAAAATGTATAGAATTGCATTCGTTATTACATTTCTGGTTTTAAGCATCTTACATAAATCTGCTCCAACAGAGTTATAAGGAAAACAACTGAAACCGACACTATATTGAATTTACAGTCACCTTCATGCATTGATGAATTGGTTGAACATAACAATACGTCTATGTCTCAACTGACTAGCGACATATTTTCGTGGTCTTAGATCTTCAGACCCCAGAATTAACATCTAACCTGTAGTTTTACAGATTGTGTCCTATTACAAATTGCAACATTTTGATTGAGCGTGGAATCGCATGTCGAGTGATGGATGTATAGCTGGAGACTTTTATCCTATAGACTTACACCAAATCTCCCTCTTAGTTGGAGTTCATGCAATTCCCGCAGATTTTGCTTAAAATTGTTATAAAAAATTATCTAATTAAATGAGTGGAACTACATGTACAAGTGTCTGACCAAAACAAAATAAATACGTATAACTCGGATTTTGTTTATACGTGCACGTGTTTCGTTCAATTTGTTGCTAACACAGATCGCAATATCCGGAAAAGTACTTACGACACATCATATGGTTTGAGGTTGGGTGAAATAACCAAAACTCACCTATTGTACAAAATGATATCAGGAAGCCATATTAAGTCACATGGTATCCGCAGTATTTTGATGTGTTTAAATTCGGTCTCGTTATCCCATCTAAGTTTATGATCCAACCATTCCTAAAATAAATACAAGAGCGTTTAAATTTTTCTTTTATTTCCGCCTTCATATTTCTACAGTCATTGTTTACCCATTCTAATAAAATGTCTTTTAATATGTTTAAAGTCGTTCTTATATATCTTCCATTGTTTTAATCAATAGGGTTTACACGAAGAATGATTTATTTGGTACTTGTTATGCAGACTAGAGACTGATATAAGGCTTACTGTGATTTATATGAATGGTTCTGTAGACACATGAGGATGTCATTTAATGCTAGTTAATCTTAACCTGGAACTCAATATAATAGCTGGCAATATTTATTTACACATTCGATTTGAGACAATCATGTAAATATATGCAGGTTTCCGCCATTTTTCATTTCGCTGTCCATCATTTTTTTGTCTCGTTGTTTAAAAATGCGGAAGATACCAATGAACATTCAAAACTCATAAAGATGACGAAAAGCGAAACAAGTCTACAAAACACCAGAAAGAAACATAAGACTTTGCTACAAGAACCCCACCAACAACTAGGGTCATCTCAGGTGAGTTAAAAGACAAATATTATATAGTATATCTTTATTCATGAACTATTTGAAAGTGCTTTTTTCAGATTAGTAAATATGCATCTATCCCTCCAAAAACATAGGAAAAACAGCGTGATTTATTCATGATTATACGTCCCCTCCTCTGATCCTCGAATTTGACCCACCGTATTAGACGTATCATCGGGTTTACATTTACTTGAGCAACGCGACGGATGCCACATGTGGAGCAGGTTCTGCTTACCGAACTGGAGCACCTGAGATTACCCCCAGTTTTTGGTTTGGTTCGTGTTGCTCAGTCTTTAGTATTCTATGTTGTGTTTTGTATACTGTTGTTTGTCTTTTGGTCATTTTTAGGTTTTTCTTTACATGGCGTTGTCAGATTATTTTCGACTTATGAGTTTGAAAGACCCTTTGGTATCTTTCGCTTCTCTTTTATAGTAGATTATTTTTTAAATCGTTCTTCTGTTACCGTTACACAATTGCAGTTTCGTACTAAAAACTGATGCAAAACAATTGATATTGTGAAAAAAAGAAAAAAGGCACAGATAGCATTTAATCAAAATTACATATATAAAATTGAAATAAAAGAAAACCATCACTTTACAAAGAAACATACAAGATTAATATCAAAATACTCCAATCATAGAAGAACATTCAAAACCTCTAATTAGAAAGGAACATAAAATATCAGTATAAAAATCCACTTTAAAAGGGGTATTAATAGTATCAATATCTTTAGACAAAACAATCGCATATATAACATGACAAAAAAGAATGAATATATTAATAAGTACCACGACCCCTTTCCCCAAAGAATAATCTTAAACCAAAACAAAGTAGATAGACTCTTGCGCACCGGCAGGAATACTGTTATTCTTATTAATCGTAGAATTGTGCTATTTTTCAAAACGTGTACATTGAAAATTTAGTTTTGCACATGAAATTGGAATTTACCGATCCATATTTTGTTTAAAGCCACATTCATATGATTCATAGCGCTCCGTTGACAGATGTTTACTTCCAATTTTCTACCATAACGTCAGAAAGTGTGAAAAGATATCAGTTGATTTAAGTGTATCCTGCTATGTTATGTAAGTTTAGAAGCTCAAGCTGGAGCTGATACAAATAAAACCAAGGGATACTATTATGTTAAACCAATGACGAGTTTAAACCAGCTGTTTTGTCGATACTTCTACAGATAACCACCTCGTTATGGCGACTATATAACAATGTAAGCTCTTCTGTTGCAACAATTTTCCATAGGCGGATCCAGGGGGGGGGGGGGGGGGGGGGGGGGGGGTCCTGGGGCCTTTTGTGGGAAAAATTTGGTTGATTATATAGGGAATCACTGAAGCATGACTAGAGCCCCCCCCCCCCCCTCCCCCCCCCATCCCCCCCTTTTAGGTCAGTCAGCGGGCCCCCTTATGAAAAGTTCTGGATCCGCCACTGTTTTATGACGTTAGAAGGTCAATTAAAAAGGCAGACTATGAAATATATGAAACATCTACTAGTATATTCAAGTCTTGTATAAAAAGTCTTGCGTGCTATGGAACTCGATTTAACCTTCAACTTTCATTTTAAAGAACCTGTACAAAATAAGAATTCTACAGTCAATCACCAATTGTTTCATTTACGATTATTTAAATAAATTCCCAGTATATATAGAAATTTAATTCTTAGAATAAGCCTGTATGTATACCTTGTACCGACTCCCATTGTCATATTGCACATAATTGCCTACATATTAGCTAATTAAAGGATCATATAATTGTAACTAGTAAAGTTGCATAAAGTTTACATTTACCCTGTCTCATTTGTTTTTGGAGTACGAGCGATTCCTTCAGTTCTTGTTTTAGGCTTAACATATACATACATGGCCACATGATTGTATTGAGTAAAATAACATGTACATATACTTATATGGCCACATCATTGTATCTAGTAAAGTTATATGTAACATATACTTACAATGCAACATGATTGTATTTAGTAAAGTAACATGTACATATACTTACATAGCCACATGATTGTATTTAGTAAAGTAACATGTAACATATAGTTACATGGCCACATGATTGTATCTAGTGATGTAACGTGTAGCATATACTTACATTACCACATGATTGTATCTAGTGAAGTTACATGTAACATATACTTACAATGCAACATTATTGTATTTAGTAAAGTAACATGTACATATACTTACATGGCCACATGATTGTATCTAGTAAAGTAACATGTAACATATAGTTACATGGCCACATGATTGTAACTTGTAAAGTAACATGTAACATATACTTACATGGCCACATGACTGTATCTTGTTAAGTCGTTTTCGATCTATGAGTTTGACTGTCCCTCTGGTATCTTTCGTCCCTCTTTTACATGTAGCATATAATTGCATGGTTACATAACCGTACTATAAACCATATTATTTTCACAAATTCTATTTTGGCTTTATTACTTTGTAGCCGATTTATTTTCGCAAATGTCTTGCTTTTGTGGTGTGTTTCTATAATCGAAAGTCCAAGTTTGACATACAAGCGATAATTTATATTTACTTTATTTTTCTAATCGGGAAAGTCGCTACAATAAGTTGCTCGGAAAATAAGTTTGTTTACAGAATTTCTTACCTGATCAAGCCAAATATTTGTTGTAAGTACTTGATTCTTTTCATCCTGAAAATAAAATACTAGTATAAGCAGATATATATCTTAATAAACCTGCAAAGTCAAATAAAAGATAATAACTTTAACAGCTTTAAATGATATCATTCCTTGGTATACAATTTGTTTTATTTAACAGACGTTGTCTAGTGTTGTCCTGTTGTGATTATGACCTTTCCTTGAACATAATAGCAACAACAACGTTAAACCACAGACAGCATACTATTAAAACAAATATCGCATTTCCTAAATCTCCATACTTATAGAAATAATTTAATACTGTTAACTCCATATTACCCTTTATTACTGTCTGACAATGAGTAGATTTGAACATTAGTGACCATACAACCTGTCATTATTGTGATTTAGTCTCTAATAATCAAACCACCAAACCATTCTGTTAAGCTTTATTTACTATAAGATATACTTAGTTTCCTGTCTTGTATATAGACCAGCTGCTTCAAAATAGAATTCTATATTTTCACAAGTAACATCATGGGAGGAAAAAAAGCAACTACTGTTTAAAGTTGTTCTACAATTGGCCTTGGTCTAAGATACAATTTGAACCTTTAGAAGTTTGCAAGCTTTGTCTTAATTAAGGAAGCCTGATCGGCTGTTTTTGAATGCGCCGCGCATAATATTTTTTTTAATTGTAGATATACGTATGGAGTAAAATTGTATATCATTTATTTGCATATTGATATACTGCTGAAGTAACAAAATCCTCGTTATATCAAATTTTACGACGCCATACGATTCAAGTCCAGTTAGGCGCCGGTTTGTTTATTAATGTCGTCTGGGGACATAATATTGTAAATGGCACGAAAGGTGGGATATTTTCGATCAGAAAAAAAAAAACACAATTAAAACGCAGTGAAAATGTATCAGCTGTACAAGTAGGGTCTAAAATAAATTAGACAAAGAGCTTGTTACAGTTTTAGTTCGTCTTTCCGTCAATATGATCAAACCACAAACCCTGTCCGCTCTGTGAACGTCACACTGGTTTTCCTGATCCGTCATTTGTTAGAAAAAATTTGAAAAAAACGTATGTGTCGGAGACAATGATGATTGGAGAGAAGGAAGGCGGTAGTTGAGCTCTATTCTTGCAGATGGTCTGGCTGGGTGTAAGATATGCAACAACCCAATATAGTGATCTCATACAACCCGTGTAAGATGTGCAACAACCCATTATCGTTATGTCATACAACCCGTGTATTAAATTATGGTCGTGGCACTTTCAAAGATACCATGAAACAGCCTGACCGTATACAAACACAGTACCACATTTTTGATAAGAATACAAAGTTAGCTACAGGTAAGAAATAATACAGCCCATCAGTATGCAATCACAGTACCAACAGGTGTTTGATATGAATACAAAGTTAGGTAAGAAATGTTACAGAAACATGTATATGTAGATAGTTACACATGAACTTTATTTGCCAATATATTTAAATAAGGGACTGCGCAATATTTATCAGCAGGACGGGCCGGTGCAAATATGGACAGGGCGAATACTTTTTCATCATGTTCATACAAAACAAGTTTTTTTAAAAGGCTTTTTGTGTGGCGTAAACTTTTTTTGAAAACCTTGGCATTAGCTTAATATATATAATTTAATCAGAGTAACACAAATAAGGGACCGTTCAAAATTTATCTCGGGGAAAAGTGAATGGGGTGAACTTAAGGGCAGTGCAAATACTTTTTTACTGTGTATGTCTTTGTATAAGGCTTATAATCTAGTACGCCAGACGCTCATTATGTCTACTAAAAGACTCTAGTGTGACGCTCGAATCAAGAAAGTTAAGAGGCAAAATAAATTACCAAGTTGAAGAGCGCTGAGGGCCATCACAATTCCGAAAGACTCTGGGGTAGAAAACCTTAATTTTTGTTGAACAATTAAAAGTAACTCATCTGAAATGTGACATAGGATAATAAGTCATACATTAAAAAAAGAAATTCGGAATCACAGATTGTCTTATTCTTAAACTCGTCTGTTTTCTTTTTCTTCAAATCTTTCAGGAGTACATGCAGCTGTCATCCTATATTAAATTATTTAACCATTGTTGGCTTATCTTTATGATAGAAAATAAAACCTTATTTCTAAAATATAATGAATCAAGATAAAAAAGTGAAATATATTTTGATGGATGCTTTTTTTCACTTTGTTTATCATTTTGGGCAATAACTCAGTGAACACAATAAATATATTAATGGCGTTCATTAGCCTTGAACCGGAACTTGACAACATAATTAGCCTTTAATAACGCAAATGTTTCCGGAAATTCTCTAAATCAAATGAACAGTAAATCTACATTTCACATTAAATAATTGCAAGTGAGAACATAATAACATTATGTAACATAAATAAGTAAGTTTGCAGACGACACATATTTCTCCTAACGTTTATTACAGACTCACAAAAGACAGCTGTTATTTTTTTACAGACAATTAGTTCTTATATCAATATATTGCAGTATTTAGGATCATTTGGAAGTTTAAAAGAGAACATTTAATCGAAGAATATAATTATATTTTTAGCAAATTGACTTTTTTGCTTATAAAAATATTACATATGTATTCTTTATTTTGAAACCTAAATCAAGATTTTGAACTAGTTCCCTAACTACTATTAAGGAACTTATTATGAAATTTAAAAAAAAGCCTTGAAATAATAGAATGAATACCTATGGAGTATAAACATCTCTTTTTGATGTTTTAAATAATTCATTTAATGGTTCAATCAATTCAGTTGGAGTTTGTTTCGACTCTCTACACTACACTCTCACAAATTGTTATCAAACAAGCGTTTTCTTGTTTAATCAACATTAAAATAAAATTGCATTTCCTGCAACTTTGATAAAGCCTTCATTGGTAACGAATATAATAATTTGTAAGATTTACTAGAACTGTGAAGGAATTATATAAACTTTGTCCTGGACAACATCTTCATGTAAGTTTTGGAAACAAAGGTTATCGACAGGTTGTAGATGTTTCGATGGCTTACCGATGTGATCATCTCACCACACTTCAAATAAGTATTCTGGAATATTTACCCTTTTCATTACAGAAGAAGACTTTTTAAGAGTTGCAGCAAATAGATATGCAATTAAATTTTTTCAAAGACTATTTTTGTTCAATATGCCAACTTCTTTTAAATAACATTGTGTATGAGTGTAGTGAAGAAAGTCAAATAGTCATGAATTTCAACTAAATTCGAAAGACCATCAAAAGCACGTCATTTATTCAAAACACCCAAAGAGTCTTTTACTTGTTTACGCTTCATAAAGTATTAATCTCATTATTCTTATATGTTTTATTACAAATGATTATAATTAGTTAATTCTAGTAATTCAAAAGTATAAAAAAAAAGCTAAAAAAAACACATAAAAGAAGCAGACAAGTTGATAACACATTTCACGTTTTTTTTTGTGTAGTTTATGTAGCCAAAATTCAAATGTTCAGAGGAGGCTTTAAGCTGAGGTGTGATAATGATACAATTGTTTACTATTTGACACTTAATGTCGTTTGGAAGTTTGGCTGTAGAAATCATTTCACAAGCGGGATATCATTATCCTTATTTTTACGGCCATGTTGTTTAGTAAACTCGTTAAATAAGTTGATATCCATATAAACATTTTGGTACTCTGAAATAAACTCATTTTTGAATGTGATCAATTTACATTGTAGTAGAATCTAAAACAAATTGAAGGTCGCAAGGAGTCCTGTTATTGTTAATATTCTAGTCCTTTGGTCGTTATGGATACTTGTTTCATTTGCAATCGTACCACTTCTCAAATATATCATAAATTTTTCTCACGATTATGGTTATGTATTAAACAAGATTTATAACTTACAACATCTAATACTTGTGTAAGTGATATGCCTAATCTAATGATAACTGGTGTCGTAGCCTGGTACACGGGTCGGGACGATCGGTCGTAATTACGTATAAGTCTGTATAATAATCTTTGTTCCTCGGTCATATCCTCGGGTGCTATCTGGTTCTGTTTCAGAAAGTAGCTGTTGGCGTACATGTCATCAGCTGTTGAAATATAAAATATCAGTGTACTAAGATCTTATTAAGATTAATTTGACTTCAATAGTAATAACCTGTTTACATTGTAACACAAAAGAAAATTGTGTTCTTCTTAATCATAAATAATCTGATATCTACGCAACAGATTAGCATACAGGTTATATAACTACAATCTCAAATCATTCAATGAAGGAAAGACCTGTAAAACAGGATTTTTGTTAAAGTAATCTTGACTTTTGAGGCAGTGCATTTGCAAAACGTCTGGAATTTGTTTACCTACATACATAAAAGTTATACATATATCAAATTCTCTTCATTGTGAAATAAGATGAAACAGTTTGTAACTAGTTTCAATCAATTTTAAAATGAAATGATTTTATATTACAAAGCATTGAATTTGTGTTTCATTATGAATAAAAGTAGATATTTAGTTTGGGCCAATGAGACGTCGATCCTACAACTGATAACAAATACATGGGACTTGCATTTAACATTCTTTTCAGACTTACAAATTATTTTTTGAGAATAGCGTTGTTGTTAATTCCGCTATATTTACCTATCGTTTTGACACTTAATGCCAGTAATTTTCACACATATTCAAAGGTATTTTTTTTCAAATTTCTTTTATGAAGACAACTATCAACGCGTTGTTGTGTTAGCAATATAAGTTTGACTGACCTGGAGCTGAAACGTATCTCATCCTGATGCCTTTAATTGCTTTCAATATTGTATTTGAATTCTTATTGTTGAAAGCCACACCTTGACCTTTAATTGTTCATAACCTTGTCCTTATGTCTTAATTCATAACCGTCTCATTTGCAATTATACCACATTTTTATTTTTTTTATACTGTTATGAAATAAAGATCCCAGAAAATGCAGGTCTGTATATATCATAGGCTTAAGATGGACGTCTTCTTCGGTTATTCATTAAAAACAACATACCTAAATATGGTCGATTATGAAGGGAAACATTGAAATTGATCAACATATGTGATGTGTCTCATTTAAAGAGTATTGTACTTCAAAGAAACAAAGTGATTCGTTGATATGCATCTGAGGTTTATTGTCATATTGCAAGTATGTTATGTTTACAACCAAGACCACTTGAACTATATCCATATTTTAAGTTTATAATTTCTACAATGCATGATCTCTGTTCTCCGACATTAGACATCAATTAATCAATTGATTAATGACAACAAACGGACTGTAAATAAGAAATTTTACTTTAGCTAGAACATGTAGTAAGAAAAAACTAAATAATAAACAAACAAACACAAAACAAAACAAAACAACGAAACAAAAGCAAGTCAAAACAAATAAACTCTACCCAAACCTAAAAAACAAAATGTCACATGAAATATTATCTTCGATTATCTCAACGTTTATTGTGGCAGCAATTTTTGTTTTAAACTGTGAAAAAAACCCGAGAAAATATATATTGTCTTTTATCTTTTTATGGTACTGATTATGAAAAAAACGGTTAGTCAAATCCCACTGTTTGTCTGCCAACACTTTCTTAATCTATATATCTTTCTGAACGGCAGGAGTTACGTAAGAAGATAAGATATTTTGTCAGTCTAAACGCGGAGATGTTCCCATGTCAATTATTATCAAATTTGTCAGACAAATGTTGCTTTTCATTTTTTCGTCCCATCTATTTCGATGAAGAAAATTTTCTTGACAAAAGTAATTTTCAAGAAATTTTTGATTCACAAAAATGATACATTTTGAAAAATATGACTACAAGTAGAATATCTTACATAACAGAATCGATGGATATAATGAAAAAAGTAAATCTCTTGAAGATTGCAGACATCATAATAAAAAGGAATATAAAATATCCTAGGCTTAAAGGATTTCACTTGTATATAATTTGTAAAATAAGGTTAAATATTATAAATACACATTTGTTACATTGACGCATCTATCACAATGAACTAATAAAAGATAACACAGTCATAATAAGGGCTGCATAATGCCTAAAAGGCAACATAGAAATGAATTTTCGGATACAAATCAAAATATTCGACGAAAGAGATAACTTAAATTTTACCATTGAGAACATTCCATATCTACCTAGCAACATTCCATAAAGAACTGCATAATATTAAGCATATATCTACAGTTTGATACGATATATATATATTTGCAGGATTTCCTGTCAGTATCATTGTGCAAGTACTCGGTCACTTTTACAGTAAATAGCTAATTGTAATAATAATTATCATCGAAAGATGTTTCTAATAAAGTGGGCAATACATATGGGCTATTATTTGTGTTTTTTAATATATATATCTGCTGTTTTAGTGCTTTTTCCTAATCTTTTTTATAATTATAATAGTAAAAGATTTAGTAAAATAAAATAAGAAATACCTTATTACACCTGTAGTTAACTTATAACATTCCAAATTGTAATCTTTGGTACAAAGACCCCTTTTTATTTCGATATATATTCTGGGTTTTCATTTTGTACATGCACTTCACATGTACATGTACAACGAAAGAATGAATTCATATTGGTTTTTTCCTCATTTATGATATCCCACTTATTTTAACTGCAGCTGGAGCATTTCATAATGTCATTGTTTCCTAATTATAGTAAGTGATATTTTATAACATAAATGTCAATTGCTATTTAATTCTTTTTCCTTCATTATCAGAGGCCTATTTTTGAATGGAAAACAACAGAAAAACATAACCTATTTCATTTTTGGCAAGAATCTGTTCAAGGGCACATTAACAATTGCCCTTTCCCATTTTTCAAGCCTCTTAAAAATAAGCTGATATATTATGACATTGGCGTTTATTATAAACTTATTTGTAAGTCTCCATTCCAAGTAATGACAATGACAGTCTATCGTTATTTATTCTTAGCACAATTGCTGTAAGGATTTTCTTTGAAATAGTTATAAGTTCGCTTTTAATACATTTTTATTAATCATACTACTTTAAGTTAAGGACTTTTATTGTTGCTTTTTTTGGATGCTGATATTACATCACTTGAAACAAATAAAGCTGTAGAAAAGAATATAAAATATTCATACATAAACGAATATACCGAATATAAATGTCAATTAATTCCATTTTTAGATTACATGTCGTTACATATATTTTCATGGTGTGTCCAAAAATGATTCAAAATGGCTATTTTTTGGCTTAAAATGGAAGCATTACGTAAATGTGTAAAACGTTTTGACAGATTTAGTGTCGAATTTACTTTATAACCTGAATAGACTAACATGATTTTAATAATATACATATAATGATGTGTTCTACTCTGAGTCATTTATAAAAGTACATACTTCAACGAGACAGCAACTATAGGATGCAATAAACATAACAAGATATATATATATACATGTATATATTATAGATGAACAGACGATCTTTAATAACAAATGTCTCAACAATATTCCAAGCTCTGAATTGCCCCGAATTCTAAAACGTCAATCAAGGATCAGCCTTAAGCATTTACTCAAAATGTTTTTCGTTGAATTTTTACATTTTTTGTTCTGCCCAAACCTACAATTAGTTTTGCCTTTAAACTTTCAAGGTTTCGTGCATTCGAGGAATACATTTTGAAACGGATGGACGACTTCAAACTAGAATCTATGACAATCGAGATGATTTTAACTTTCCAAATGTCATTTCCCATTTCTCAGCTGTAAAAATGTTATCGGTACCAAGTTTTATTGCACCAGATGCGCATGTCGACACTCTGCTCCATCGAATGTCCTTTAACTATCTAAATTAAGACATAACGCACGTGCATGTTCACATCATTCTGACTTTATTAAAATGGGTGTGCTTCTTACACAAACACTACTCTAATAGAGTTATTACGAATAACGACTGAAATCGACACTACATAAATTGTATGGTCACTATCACAAATTGGTTGACCGATACCATGTGTCAGTATCTAAACTTACTACCACACTAGCGACATATTTTTGCGGTCTTAGATCTTTGGATACCAGTATAATTGTATGATCTGCAATTTACCGATTGTGTCCAATTACCGATTGTGAAGAAAGATAAGAAGTTAGCAATATCCTTTAACTCTACGTTCCGCTATATAGATGATGTTCTCTCACTAAATAATACAAAATTTGGTGACTATGTTGAACGAATCTATCCCATCGAACTAGAGATAAAGGATACTACAGATACAGTTAAGTCTGCCTCATATCTTGACTTACATCTAGAAATTGACAATGAGGGTCGGTTGAAAACAAAACTTTACGACAAAAGAGATGATTTCAGCTTCCCAATTGTGAACTTTCCATTTCTATGTAGCAACATTCCAGCAGCGCCTGCATACGGAGTATATATCTCCCAATTGATACGATATTCCCGAGCTTGTGTTTCCTATCATGATTTCCTTGATAGAGGATTGCTGCTCACAAGGAAGCTATTAAGCCAAGAGTTCCAAATGGTGAAGTTGAAATCATCCCTTCATAAATTTTACGGACGCCATCACGAGTTGGTTGACAGTTATGGAATAACCGTTTCACAGATGATATCAGATATGTTCCTTATGTCGTAACTACAATGCCCTTCCCTTTTCATAAATGTGACTTACCGAATTGGACTATTTACCGGATTTGTAATAACATAAGCAACACGACGGGTGCCACATGTGGAGCAGGATCTGCTTACCCTTCCGGAGCACCTGAGATCACCCCCAGTTTTTGGTGGGGTTCGTGTTGCTTAGTCTTTAGTTTTCTATGTTGTGTCATCTGTACTATTATTTGTCTGTTTGTCTTTATTTTTGGCCATGGCGTTATCAGTTTGTTTTCGATCTATGAGTTTGACTGTCCCTCTGGTATCTTTCGTCCCTCTTTTGTGACATTTTGACAAATATAAAATAACATGACGGGTAATCCATGCTTGGCAGGAGACGCGCACGCTGTCGACGCAACCGATCTCGCTCCTTTTGTGGTTCATGCTATTCCCTCAGCTTTTGTGTGTTGCCTTCCATTGTTTATTCCTAATCGA